CAAAGATTGGTGTCTTTCTTTGAAGCGAGTGTTGTGAGTGCATCCTTACCAGAGTTTTCAGCTCGAGGAATTTTTGTAAGCTCGAAGGATTTAACTCCTTAGCCACCGGATCCTGAACGATGTTGAGATATTTGTTCATTCGTTTGTCTTTAGCGTCATAGTCTCTGCTAAACTGGTTTGCCACAAGCTGAGAGTCGCAAAATACCCAAATTTAGTTGATATTAATGCTGCGAGCGAGACGTTAGTCCGAAAATCAATGCTTCATAATTGGCTCCGTTATGGAGGCCGAGAATTCCAAGCAGAAGGATTGTTCAAGGACTTCCACGTTGGATACTCAAGATGGATTCCTACTCCAAAACTATGCCGAGAATAGGCTTCGTTTACATGTAGAGTCCATCGGCTAACTGCTGTTAGGTCGTTGTTGAGGAGCTCGGGTGGCAACTCGATCAAAAAATTGGTTAAGACTTGGGATTTGGCATAGGTATGAGTGTGGTAGTCGATGTTTAATTCTGATAATTTAATTTTTCACTTAGCGATGCGCCCGGACTGCATAGGGCTATAGAGGATGGTTCGGAGAGGTTTACCGGTGAGGACAGCAATCGTATGAGATTGAAAATAAGGACACACCTTCCTGGATGCAATCACCACCACATCCAGCGCTAGTTTTTTCGAGGTTGGATAACGTAGTTCTGCTCCATCCAACATTTTGCTAATGTAGAAGATTGCTTTCTGCTCACTTCGAGCTAGATATGGCGACATAGAGATATAAAGTTTTTCTGTCTTCAGACTTGGCCAAGATCAAAGGGGTGGAGAGATAGGTTTTTAGCTGTTGGAAGCGTCTTTACATTTATCATCCCATTCAAAGTCTTTGTTACTGCATAAAAATTGGTAGAACGGAAAGCATTTGTCGGTAGACCGAGATATAAAACGGTTTAGGGCGACAATTCTCCTGATGAAACGTTGGACCTCGCAAATGTTCTGCAGAGATGACAAATCGAGGATCACAGAGATCTGCTTTGGATTGGTCTCATGCCACGCTGATGTACCAAGTAGTCTATGAATTCCCTCGAGATGACTGCGAATGTGCATTTGGCTGGGTTAAACTACATATTGTACTTGTTGAGGATCTGGAAGCATTTTTGAAAGTATTTGATGTGAACGTCGGCTTGGAGGGACTTTATCAGCATGTAGTCGATGTAGACTTCCATCGTGCGACCGAGCTGATGGGCGAACATTTTGTTGACAAATATTTAGTAGGTGGCTCCGGCATTCTTCAGCCCGAAATGTATGACCTTGTAGCAAAATGTCTCTGGTTCGTGATGAATGACGTCTTCTCACGGTCGTCGGGGTGCATGATGATCAGATTATAGCCAGGGAAGGCACGAAGGATAAAAGTTTGTTTCCGGCTGTTACCTCAACTAGTTGATTGATACGAGGAATGGGAAGCTGTCTTTAGGACATGCCTTATTGAGGTCGGTGAAGTCGATGCATACTCCTTATTTGTCCTTCTTCTTCTTGATGACTACCGGGTTGGTGAGTAAGTCCGGGTACTACACTTTGATAATAGACCCGGCCTCCAGTTGTTCATCCAACTCATCTTCGACAGCTTGATCTCGTTCAAGGATGAGCTTTCATCATTTTTGTTTTTTAGGCTTGGACATGACGTTAATGTTTAACTCACGGCTGGTATTATCAGAGTTGATGCCTTTCATGTCAACCCTAGACCAGACAAAGGTTCCTACGCTTTCACGTAGAAAGGCGACGAACTCATCTTTCATGCTAGGTAAAAACTCGGTGCTGATTCCGACACAACGGTCTGGGTCATTCTTTTTGATATTGACTTGGATGACTAAGTTGTTCTTTAATTTCTCGTGATGCATAAGTCGGGGATATAAACTATCAATGATAAATATGAAAGAGCGGCGTACATGTTGCTCGGCTAGAGCATGATCGGGATGACGATGATCGCCTCTGATGGTGACAATGTCCTTTATGCCTGGGCACTTGAGATATTGATGGCACAGAGAAGGGAAGGCGTGCATGAAACTGATCCAGGAGTCCCAAGGATGATGTTGTAAATCGTCGATAGTCAATGACGTTGAATTTGACGATCTTGATGATACCTTCGACCGAGATAGGCAGCTTGATTGTTCTAAGTAGAATCGCTGGCGAATCCTCTGAGTGCCTTTGGTGCCACTTTTATTTTGTTATCCTTGATGCTCATTCGAATAAGTGTAGTTTTGAAGATGAGGTCTACCAAGTCACCAGTATCAAGGAGGATTTAGGAGACATCCACTGGTCCAACCCGGAGAGAGATCACCAGAGGGTCGTTGTGAGGACGGTCCAACCCTTTGGTGTCGGCTTCAGTAAATTTTATAGGCGGGATGTCTTTGTAGACCGGGATGACCATTTTGTTCATGCTTTTTAAAGGAGTTGATCGAGTCAGTGTATGTCAGTAAGCCTTCCATAATCATGTTGATCATGTGACATAGAGGTCCAGGTAGGGGTGGCAGGTCATCGGCCCGATCTCTTATGGGGTTGTCATTAGTTTGAGCTGCTTTCTGTTGCGCGGAAGCGCGTCGATTGCCATCCTGGCAATGCTGGCGATTATTGCTATGAGGGGCGGCGTTGCTGATCATCGGTGCTGCCCCGGTCTTTGGATTGTATCTCGCCCTGATGCTACTTCTTCATTAAAAATCGTAAAGTGTTTATGGTAGGTGTAATACAGTTATGAACCCGACATATTTTTCGTACTATAGTTTTTCCACTGTGGAGGTTGGATAACGATGGCCATGTTGGTCTTGCAAGCTTTTTCCTCGCAGTCATAGTGCTGTCGATGTTCGTGATATTCATCTTATTTTGCCTGGGCTGGCGTTGTTTTAGGCTTCTTAGCGGTATGGCGTTCCTCGAGAACCATAAGTTGTTGGTCTTATGGATAATGTCAACGAGGGTTTTAGCTTTGCCAGTAGTGACTTTGTCGTAGGTGACATCGTCTGTAGGTTCGCAGCAGGACACGATAGTGCGGAACCATTCTATGTAATCGCGGAGTGTTTCTTTTTTGCCTTGAACGCATGCCCACATGTCAGTAGTTAATGCCTCGTGCTCGAGGTAGAGTGAGTAATGCTGAAGGAAAGCTAAAGAGAGTTGCTTGAAAGTCTGGATGAAGTTCGGCTTGAGTTTGGATTCCATAAAGTACTAACAAAGGAAGGCATCATGTTCTTCAGCTGAGAAGCAGGCTCTATTCATAGCAGCATTGAAGGTTGTTAGATGCTTCTGGGGGTCCAAGTTACCAGCATAAGAGGCCGGTAATTTGAGTTTCACGGTGTCGCAGAGTGGTACGTTGGTGATGCACTCACGAATGGGGTTTGCTGAGTCAGTTTAATGACTATTTTGAGCTCGGGTGCTGAGCTGGTAGCATTGTGGATCTTTGATGTGATATATGTTGGTGTAGGAGGTCGAGCTTGGTGGGTTCTTCGGTAGCTGATGGGGTGGCAAGGTGGGGTTGTTGTTTAGATTGGGCGTTAAAATCTCTCGTATATTGGTTGTCGACCCATGCTTCGGCCAGTGAATTTCCAAAGATCAATTGCTTAGCTCCCGAGGTGCTGATTTCGGGTGGTATTTGTGGGCCCTTAGGAGTGCCGACCTCTGTTACGTCGGTTTCATCTTCCTGACGTGGATCGCCATGTCGGGTATCATTGATGGTTTCAAGGTAAGCATTCCATTGAGCGTGCAAGGCTTCAATTTTCTCGTTCATCTTTTGGTCCATCTAAATCATGAAGGCTTGGAGAGCGGGTATGTCCGTCCTAGTTAGCGGTGGTGGACATGGAGGTGGCGGTGTTTTATCTTTATCAGGATTGGCAGAGTTGTTTTGGAGCTGAGTTCCTTCACCATCCCCGATCAGATTGCCGGGCTCGGTAGGGTTGGTGACTTTTTCATGAAGGGCTCCGGAAGGTGATGCTTCAACCATCTTTAGGTTATGATTTTTTTCCAAAACTTGTTCTCTTTTCAGTTTCTATAGATGGTACCAATTATAAGATCTTATCATTTGTAGAAATTATAAAGAGTTGTGAGGTGAAAAAAGATATTTCTATTGAAAATAGTCGAAGCTCCAAAGAATATAAAAAGATTAGGTTGTCGAAATAAGAACGTCTAACGCAATTTCTGAGCAAAGAATTTGAAACCTAAAACAAAGAAGCTGAAAGCTACGTTTTCTCTAAATCTTGAATCTTGAGGTGTGAATAAATAAGAGAGGTCTCTTTCCCTTTCGGAATAGATAAACTTTTTTTTCTCTGGATTTTATTTTCTTCTTTTTCTAGATTTATATTTATCTCATAATATTTTCTTTTTACGAAACCGATTTAATCCAGCAGCGAAATTAAAAAAATTTAATGGGCCATTCTCGATAATAAAGAGCTTACTAAGCCCATATGTTAGGATTTTAATTTGTCATTTAGATTAATAAAGAGTAAAAAGAGTACTGGTGGAAAGTAGGTTGATAAAGAACCAATGTTTTAAAAACTGAATTTAATATCGATTGGTAAATGTTTGGACGGCTTGTATATATGTTTGGACTCGCCAAAATAAAGAAACAGAAAAGACTAAAGGTGCTACCTACTACGACGTAGACTAGAGTTTGTAGGTATACTAAGCAAGAGCTATGCTTGATAAAGAAGTTATAACTCTGAGTCTCTGACAATTTGTCTGAAGCTATCATTTATTTGTGCAGCCAGTCTCGAAGTGGTCCTTCTTATTCCCATTTTTATTTATTTTATCTTTTCTTAACTTCTCACATGAGATTTTGACACTTAAAAGCCATATGACCGTTGACTAACAGAAACTCTCTCTTCCTCACAAGAAAATGGTGTGTTGTCCTCTAAAAAAGCTGACAAAATCGAGATTTCATTGGCCACCAGAAATCTTTGTCTCTCTCTCCATATATTTATGTATTATACTTTACTTCCTTCTCTTCTTATACCACATTTTGTTTTTGTTTAGACTCCAAACACATAAGTGAAAGAAGCTAAAGAAAACTCAAATGGAGAAATCAAGAATGCCAAGAAACGTTTACGAACCTTTGAAGGTAAAAATATCACTCCTCTCTTTTGCTTTTAGACGCAAATATTCTTCTGTTTCAAATCTATTTCTGTGTTTCCAACAAAAGAGAAAAGCTCTGTTTTGATATTGGGTTTTGTATAACAGACATATTTTCTCAAGGTTAACATAAACTGCCAAGGATGCAAAAGGAAAGTGAAGAAAACACTTCGAAAAGTTGAAGGTAAGATCTTAAGATCCTTGTAATAGATTTTTTCTTGTATCTTGGTCCGAGTACTGTTTCTTATGTTTTGTTTCCATGGTTCTTGCTTTCAGGTGTTTACTCTGTTGATATAGACACAGATCAACAGGCAGTGATCGTTAGAGGGAACTTAGATCCAGAGGTTTTGGTCAAGAAGTTGAACAGAAGAGGAAAGCATGCAGAGCTTCTGTTCTTGAGCCTTAACCATAAGGACCATTTTGGTAATCATCAAGCTAGCCTTAACCATGACAACAGAAGCTTGAGGAACACACATTACAATCACTTGAAGAATGTCCCAAGTAATGAAAGACAGAGTCATAATCATTCGAGTGAGGAAGAGATGATGATGATGATGATGGCGAACAACATGAAACCTGTGATGACGAACGATGCGGATTACTTTCAGATGAACGATTCATCTGAAGATTTCCAAGAGCTGCTTGGTGAGATACCGCGAAGACACAACTATGAAGAAGAGGTGAATCCAAATCTGATGAGGGACATGAAGCTTGGATATTCTAATGCATACCCTGCAGCAGAAGCAATGAACATGATGCAGATGGGAGGAAGAAGATCTGATAATATGATGATGAATGAGAGAGCTTTCCACGGTCAGATGATGAATGGTCCATCTCCAGTTCCTCAGTTTATGAATCATGAACAGTTCAGCTCAAGACAACTTAATGGCTTTTACTACTGATCATTGAAGAAAACTAGTTTAACTAGATATGTTCTGTTTCACTGCTTGGGTGTGTTTCAAGTATGATAGTATAGTCTCTTTCTTTGTTTCAGTGTTGGTTTAGTTAAGCATACTCATGTAGCAACAATCTCAGAGCTAAATCATCAGCAGATTCCTCTAATATTAATTGTAGCAAATGTAGTTTATCTGGTATCCAGTTTTGCAAATTTTACCAGATTTAATGTCCAAAAACAAATTTTCTCTTACCGGTCAAAAGTAATTCCCCGGAAGAGCAATGATTTGTCAGATTTACTAAGCAGTGTTAAGAATGATAAGCAGGAACAGAACAGAGGAGAAGCTTGTGCATTAGATGATGATTCACCTCTAAGGCTGGACTTGGATGGATCATTACTTGAAGCTATGTGCCTCAGATTCAGATCCAATGTTGTGATGTGCAGGTTTAGAATTCAGATTTTTCAAAGACCAAACAAAGCACAAGAACCGTGTGAATTCGCTGAACATGGTTGCAGGAGAATGCAAACAAGACTATTACAAGAAACAGAGGAAATCTCGAGAATCAAACAGCAAAAAAAGCATCAGTATAATGGCTATTGCACATCCTTTTTACTCTGAAGTCTGAACTGTTTTATATGCATAAAAGAATCGTGCAATATGAATCATTGTATCCCCAACACAGGGATCCTCAACTAACTTTACTGCAATAATCATCTATGTTTATCTTATTTTAGATAGAATATGTTACATTTTTCACTTTGCTTCAGCTGTATCTCTCAGCTTTAAGTTCCACATTCGGGTTGCGAATCTCGTCCTGGCTTTGTATTAATCTAATCTCCAAACTGCTTGAACATGGATCATACCCAGCTCGTTTGTAATCATCAAGCGTCCTTCGTAGAAGCCCCTGCTCGCCATAAACAGAGCTATTCAAGCACACACAAATAGAAGAACACAGAAACTTCTACTAGTTTAGAAGGTTACCTGCAATGTTGAAACTGCAAGCTCGGCTGCTTTATCAAGGTTGTCAGGGTATTTCTGGATATTACAAGCATTCAATAAGAAACGTCAAAGCGTATAATGAAAATCAACAGATGATTATTTTGCTTTGATATGGAAATGAAGAGACATTACATTACTCCAACCAAGTAGAAGAGCAGTCATGAGATCTCCTGTTCCCTGCAAGTGGTTTTTTAGAATAAAATTCATCAGTTTCAGCATTTTACATGGAACTCTTAACATTAACAATGTAGAAAACAGAAATGAAAACGATATGGTTAGTACTATATTAGCATATTCCAATTCCGGCATCATGTTAACTTCCATTTTAGCCTTAACAAAAAGTTTCAAGTTGTCAAACAAAAATGTACTTCATATAACTTAAGCTATAGTTTTATGGTTTATATTTAGATGTGTGAAGTGATGAAGTGCATACCGTAAAATAAGCAGGGATTTTGTGTATCAAAATCTTGAATTGATCAGGCTTCTGACCCTGAGGTTGAAACAATTAGATCAGTTTACTCGACAGGGAAATACAAAAGCAATTATAAGCCAATCTTTCTTATTTACTCAGGCTGACAAAAGTTAAGCCATCTTAATGCTATTCCATAAACCTACCTTTTCTTTCTGGTGACTTCCAATAAGCAAAAGAATGCCTCCTATAGTAATGCTAGTGATCACCACCTGCCAAACATTAGAAACATCGAAGTTTCTCAGGCAAATCTTCCAAGAAGCTAATTTAGTGATGGATATGCAGCCATAATTATATGGAAATCCAATTAGGAAAGATTTGTCAGGAAAGCAGTTAAAATGTAAATCAACACTACTTGGCAAGCAATGGATGCAATCTAAGTGAAACAAACCTTCGAAGGACCAGCTGCATGAAGAATAGAACAAGCTTCTCTGCCATCTTCCTCAGAATTTATCCTGTAACATTTAGAACTGTAAGGAACCATAACAAGAGAAAAATCCAGTGTCACTATCCTGTGAACATGAACTTCAAAGGAAGCAAAATCTATGAAACTAATGTGCATAAACTGAGAAAGAGGTCAAACGAGGAGATCTAGGACAGGCACTTCAAACACGTTTCCATTTCTGAGACACCATAAGCTAAACGATGCAAGTTTAGTTAATAATCAAGTACCTTAATCCTGTTAATTTCTCTGCCTCGAATTGGTTAGGAGTCAACATAGAAGCCAAGGGAACAACCTAACCAAAAACAAATAACATCAACTATTGTTATATTCATACATGTAAGGTCAGTTTAATAAAAATGTTTGAACTCAACGAATTGGATCGATTATGCTGATATAAATAATTTTATCAACTGATCAAACTGATTGTACACAACCACTTATTTCTCTTAGTTTCGTTTACCTTTTCACGATAAACCTGTACTAATTCTTCAGGCACATACAACTTTCCTTCATCACCCATCACCGGATCACATACTAGACAAGAATAGACTAAAATTAGCACTAATAACACTACAAAGATATATAAGAAGTAAGTATAAGAAGAGAGGGAAGTATAAGAGATATAGATATATTTAAGAAAGATGGTAGTACTACAGTATTCCGCACTAATAACACTACAAAGTTAGAGCCTAACTATATCATTGTTCCAATACTTCCAAGTCATCCGGAACATTCAAAATATAAGGAACTATAAAGACAAACAAAAAGTATTTTGCAGGCACCACAATGCACTCACCATATGTAAGATTCGGGTTTACAGAGCGAAGCTTATTGATAACCTCCAAAATAGTATTCAGAAATGACACTGATCCAATATAACCTGCATTTTAAAACTACAAGGAATCAAAGAGCTAAACATAAAGCTCTGTTGCTATGAGAAAAGATTTCGCCAAAAGCATTGTCACACTCAAGATCTGACCAAAACCAAATGATGTCTGACCCAAACTATTATTTTAGTGCATTTAAAACATAAGAGAGCTAACATAAAACGTAGCTTTTGATACCACTTTCTACAAATATGCTCATCTTTCTAGAGGTTTCCACACCTATTACATTATAGAAATATATTCTTCATGGGGATCAGATAAAGCTTAATATGGGATACAATCTTGAAAGCATAAGTGGTGTCTTGATCCATATACAAGCACAAACCTCTAGAAAGGCACTAACCAAATTACATAAGTAGATCCCTTTTCAAAGCGAAAAAAGAAAAGTCTTAAGCATCCTAAAATGGTGCAAACGAGAAAGTCAATATATTCATACTTTAAACCATAAAACCAGATAAACCAGAGACTACATTCCATGGTCTCAATCAAGAACGCCTCATAGTGTAGTTCAATGTATTCATTTAATACCATAAAACCACATAAACCAGAGACCACGTTCCATGATCTCAGTCAAGACAGCCTCATCCTTTCGATGTTTTCCGTCAAGAAAATATCAATTGACCAATAAAAGATGCATTTAATGTTCAAAGTGAGAGCTGGATTCACTAATATCTCTACCTGTTAATAAATGAGTGTAGAACAATAAATCGTTCGCTTCAAGACCTTCTATCAAATCCCACAGCTGTTCACCATTCAAAACTTGTCCTTTAAATGTAGGATACCCTTGGGAAAAATTTAAGTGAAACCAAATCAGTAGATGACATAATCCCCAAGCTTTGAATCAGATATTAAGACTTTCTCATAAGCTCTCTCTTACATTACTGTGACTGAATCTTACCTGTATGATTCGAGAACTGTACTGAGTTTATTGGATCCACATCGTACCCCAACAATTGAAGAGGAAAGACAGCTGATTTGTTACCAACATATCCCTAAGTAAAGAAAAATACATTACAATTATATTAATTACTCCTAGAAAGTGCCTGACTTTAATTGCTAATTATAAACACGAGATCATCCTCACTAATTGGTAAATAAAGGAACAGAATATAATAGTTGTACACATCAAGCTTCTTCTTTCAATTAAACAAATTCTAAACCTTTATTAAACAAATTCTAAAATTTAGCTGCTAACAATAAACACGAGATCATCCTCGCAAATTGGTAAAATAAAGGAACAAAATATATTAGTTGTACACATCAAGCTTCTTCTTTCAATGAAAAAATTGTAAACCGTCAAATTAAAAACTTGCTTGTCTTCCAATTTGGACTAAAGTAGAATCTTCAATCTAGTAATAAATATATTCAAGTTGAATCAGTAAAACTATCTTATTGATTAATACCAAATTTAGATTCAAATGCAGAAGGAAGAAGCATGTGCTCTGTTCTTTACTAAACGTGGTATGTCTCAACAAATCATGTGAAATCAAAAACAGAACAAAACCCATAAAAATCAAGCACACAAATTTTCTATAAACAATGGTAAAGATCAAAACTTTTTCAAGAATAATTCCAAATCGTTTATATCAAAGTTTCCTGAAAATAGGGATATAAAAGTTTGAGATACAAAAAAAAAACAAAACCTGTACAGTGTGCGATTGGATACTAAGAACTCGACCAGTATCTGAAGGAAGAGCAAGCGAGAGAACAGGAGGCGTCGACATTCTCGAATTTCTCGATCTTTATCAATCATCAATCAAATCGAACAAAAAAAAAATGTATGTATCAAATTAAACACAACTGAAATGAAATTAAGACATAAAAACGAGAATCTGAAATATAAGATTAACCTGAAATTTGGATTTGGGTGGAAATTATGGGATCTAAGAGTGGTGGTGGTCAGAGAGAATGGCATCAAGAGCTGACCTTTAAGATAGCGTCTGTTGACCAGCGGGAATTGTAAGACTGTATTAAAAATTCACTGTTTTAAAAACCGGACAGAACCGACTGGTTGAACCGGTTTGATTGAGAATCGGAGAATTATTCAATTTACTTTCTAAATCCGGCAAAACCGGCAGAGCGTGACGAAATGGTTTAAGATTGAAATTTAACAATGACTTCTAGAACGATATAGACTAGGGTTTTCTTTAAACCTCTTATTTTTATTTTTAATATTTAAAATAATAAAATTATTAATCTATTGGGGTACGATGTGGACCCAATAAAACATGTTTTCAACAACGGAAGATACAAAATAAAATAATCCCCTAAAATGCTGACCCCGATTAGTCTAGTATTTCATTAAAAAGCTAATTAATGTTTTCACACCAGAAACTCGGATTTATCAAGAAGTGGTGATGATTTCAGGACCCATGCATGGCAGGACAAGAAGTGTAGGTGTGGGTTTAAGCGTGATAAGCTGGTTAACAGAAGAAATCGGACAAAGAGCTGAAGTGTTTGGTGATGCACAAAGTTCTTGATGGAAGTTAAATCTAGTTAGGTGGAAGCAAACTTGAATCCGGACAGGAAGCTAAAAAGACTGAAACAGATGTTTGAGACAAAGAGGAAACGAAACTGATACTAAGCAAACTTGGGAATGAAGAAACAGGTAGTTCAGTGGAGAAGGTGAAGGTGGAATGGTCTCTTGAGACGCACGTCTCTTTTTCTTCTTCTTTATAACACGTTTGATGTTATCTGAGGTTTTGGTTTTGTTTTTGAGAAGTTAGAAGGCTCTCAATGGGACTAAAGAGTTTTGTTTCTCATTTCTATCCTAATCTACTAGCAAATTCAGTAAAAAAAAATTTTTTATTGAACATGTATTTATAATAACTATTTGTCAAAGCTTCCAAAATCATGTGGATTAGTGTCGTCGTATTAGAAATTTTTGAAATTGTTTCATTGCAGAAAAAAAAACTCAAAAGTAGTTTTGATCAATCTTTATTGGAAATTACGTAGCAAGTCTATAAACAAACACGAAAATTAAAAAGCGCAAGTGAATCAACAAAAGACCAATATACTCATTAATCATTATGCTTCTCCTCCAACGTAATTGATCATTCGACGTTACCACCTTTGTCATCTGAAGAGCCGACTCTATTTGTTGCTTTTTTTGCCTAGAAAAGAAGAAACAGAATCACATTAGGGCAGAGTTTCGATCCCAATAACTTAACCGATCGGTTTAAAACGGTTTTTACCTCTTTCTCCCAGTTTGTAAATATAGTGACTAAAGAAAGACAAAACACTTGGACAGCCAATGCTGTTACGATTCCCAGCCAAAGTCCCTATAACATTACATAACAAACACCACACATTTTTGTTTATAGTCTAGGGTTCGAATTTGACTTAGTTGACTACAACAAAAGAAGTAGAGAAAAGTTGAGATCAAAATGTGAGTTTTAAAAGATTATTATTACCCGACCACCCATGTGGAAATGGAAACCAAGTAATAAGCCTAAAGGAACTCCCACAAGGTAATATGAACCAAGATTCACACACGCTCCAATTTTCTGCCATCCACATCCTCTAGCAACCCCTGAAACCATAACATAACTGAGATTAACCACAGAGATATATGAGACAAAACCAATTAACCATTGAGTGTGAAATTACCTGAGAGAACGCATTGGAGGCCATCAAGGAAGTTTCCACATGCCACAATCGGTATCATTGATGCAGCATATGCGATGATTTTCGGGTCACTGCTAAAAGCGCGACCTAGGATCTTCCTAATCGACAACAGTACCGTAACGACCAAGATACCCTCAACGACTGCTATGCCTACGATGACATATACAGCCAGTTTTGCCACTTGTGGATTCCCTGCTCCTAGTTCGTTCGACACTCTTATGCTACAAAGTTAAATGAACACACAACCATAGTTTGGTTTAGTAAATATTCTTCTATGTGCTTCCTCATAACCATTGTTAACTTTATCTGTACTACTTACCTCGCAGCACCACCAAGACCAACCGAGATCTGCCAGATTGTTAGTGAAGTATTTAGACTGAAAAGTTGAAAAAATTGGATTGATCAAGAAGTGTAAACTCTAAGAAAACAAAAAAAAATAAAGATAACAGATTTTACCAGATTGAAAGAACCGAAGTTTCCAAAACCGGGTTAGGAAGAAGACCTGAAGCGAGAACCAGAAGCTCGAACGACCACAGCTCCAAACTGTTACAAACAAGAATCGATCAGGTCCTGCAACAATGAAGTATTTTTGTAATGAAACAATGAAAATATATATATAAAAAAAAAAAAATGTTTCAATCACTTACCAGACCATGACTGCTGAAGGAAAAGCGATTTTAGAAAAATCATAAATCTCATGAAAAGCCTCTTTTGAAAACCCGGTCCAGCTATGCGAGCAAGAAGAGGAGAACTTGACATAACATGAGAGGAGAATGACGTTGAACCAGTAAGAGACGGAGATAGCGAGAGCAGCTCCTCTGTATCCTAAACCAGTCTTCAACACAAACAACCAACAGAGAAGAAGGTGAAGACAAGTGGTGATTCCAGAGCAGACAAAGACAGGGAACACATTGTTCTGCGCTTGCAAGAACCTGTTGATACACTGGAGTAGTCCGTAGGCGAATAGACTTGGGATCATGTACCTCGCGTACGAGCCAGCGACACTAGCAATGGACTTATCTTGGTGGACGAGCACGAGTATCTGCTCTGTGTTAGCCCAAATGATTGAGAGAGGAACAGAGAGTATTAGAAGAACAAACATTGCTCTCTGCATTTGAATCCCCAGTTTTCCATAAAGCTTTGCTCCGTAAGCCTGTCCACATAGTGTCTCCAACGCACTCGCTGTTCCCAACTCTTCACATTCACACACAAATAAAATAAAAAACAAATGAGGAAGTCAGTTATTCAAGATACAGAGAAGATCCTCTTGGTGAAACGGTGAGTTTGAACGACAAGACCAAAACGCAGCGTTTTTAAGACTTTAAAATAATTGATGTAAATTCTTCATTAGAATCAAATAAGAACAGAATCATTTATAAATATTACTCTGTTCCTAAAAGAGATTTTCTGGATTTTATTTTTGATTTACAAAGATAAATGTTTTAAATTTTTTGAAGAATTGTAAACTTCAAGAAAATTAATTGAATTTACTGAATCATCATCATATAATATATAAAAGTTGATGACATAGTGCATTGAGGGCGTCCACATGAGACTAAAAAATTCGATATGATTGGTCCATATCAGCATATTCATTAAATAAAAAAAATATTAAGTATGATTAAGACATAAAAAGTTGATTAATTGGTTCACATCAGCCTTTAAATCAAACCAAAAATTATTAAGTATAATTAAAACATTAAAAGTTAATATAACAAATTATGTCCAAAAAAAGTAAATTCAATATGATTGATCCAAATCAACATATTTATAAAATCAGAAAATGTTAGTATGGTTTAAAAATTTAAAAATTAAATAAAAAAAATTAACAATTAATAATACATGTATAAAAAAAGTAATCATTATCAATTATCAATTTAAAAAAAATCCACAACAACTCAATTTAACAATTAAAACAATGAAAGCTGAATAAAAATATAACATAAAACTTTAGGAAGATATGATGGAGAAGGAAAAAAAAGTTTTGCAAGTTCATTACAGCTTCCTAACAAAATTAAATATGAATCAACATGAATCATGAATTATATATGCAGTGGTACACAACATCAATATGACTTTCAATAAAAAAAAACTAAATACTTAACACATAAACCTTTAAAAAAAAAGAAATATGATTAAGGAGAGACATGAGGGATACACAGAAAAAGTGAAATTAGAGGAGAAATATGATTGTGAACATTGTAGGGGGAGAAAGAAACTTCTCAGCTAGAGAGTGACCCTTGTAGGAGGAAGAAGGAAGAAAGAGAAGTTCCACCAAAAAGGTCAAAGAGCTCGTGTTGCTCATCATATCATTCCCTTGCGTCTTCAGAGGATTTCGAGAGTGATACTGAAGATCAAGACGAGGACAGGACAAGAAGGCCACAAGGTTGCAAAGTTCTCAGGACAAGCTATCTGAAGAGGCGTCAAGCTCCAAAACATCTTCGACTATGGTCTTGGGAAATAGAATGCAGCTTGTAGATCTGGTTTCAGAGGCTATGCAATAATCTGAAACAACACTGATTCCTCCTTCATCTCCCAGCTGGTAAGCAGAGGCTCGTGGAAAAGTGATGGAACCATAACTAGCGGGGCTTCCCTTCAAGAAAACTTCCCACGGAACGTCAGAAAGTAGTTATTTGAACATCCAAGTGCAGGAGCTTCTGACTGATGAGGGAGCAGGTGGAACAACTAATCAACAACAGCCTCTAAGTGCAAAGTCCCAGGAAGAAACAGGCTCCTCCATTGACACAAAGAAAACTTCAGAGGCACAAACAGGTTGTGAGAGACAGTTTTAAAGAGTGGGAAGAAGCATACAGAGTAGAAGCTGAAAGGCGTACAATAGATGAAATGTTCATGAGGGAAGCATTAGTAGAAGCTAAGAAAGCTGTTGATATATTCTTCTGTTGGATTTATCAAACTATAGTCTTGTGTTCGGGATTTAACCGCACATGCAGAAATGATTTGCATTCAAGAGGTTTCCAAAGTACTTCGTTCATGAAGGCTTGCGGTAATCTTTTCTTTCTCGCTCCCTTATGATCATGGTGAAATATACACCTTTTGTTACATTGCAAGTAGCAGGAACACTATATGAGTTTTCAGTTTTTGTGTGATGAATGATGTTTGATTTTTTTGGGAGATATTAAATCGAGACGAGCTCAATAATTTTTTTGGAATTGATGAATAAGACTTCATCACAATCTCATTCTCAAACTCAGATTGAGGAGATTACGCTTTATGTATTGGTTTAGTGGTTATTAGAGTTGGTTTAGTTATTTTCCGATTGCGTTTTTAACACATAAGAAAAGAAAAAGAAAGGGGATGAAGAAATGTACGAGGAAGGTGAAGCCGGTGACGGAGGCGAAGGAGGTGGCGATTGAGGCGGCAGAGAGGGGAAGAGATCCGAGATGGCCAACGAACATGACGGAGATGACTTGGAGAGAATATTGAAGGAGGCTTACACCAATGAGTGGAGCAGAGAGCCATAGCTGCGTCTTCACTTCTTCCTTCACGCGAATCATCGTTGTGTCTCTCTCCGTGATCAGAAGCGGAGGAGTCACACCATCTTCCATCTTCTCTTTCTCATACAAAAGTCCAAAGATAATGTAAAATAAACAGAAAAATAGAGTAAACAACGCCCTCTCTCTATTTGCTGTGTTCCTGGTTTTTAGGGTTTCTCTGAAGCAATCGTTGATATATTTTTTTTTTAATTACGTTTTTTATTATTATCAACGTTTACTTGTTTTGTTTGTGGCCTACGCTGGAATATTTGGAAATAAATCATTATGATTCTGTTCTAAATATAAAAAAGCTAATTTCCCTCCTGATTTGGCGAATATGATGAAGAGTAATTTGGTATACGCATCTAAATTAATCACGGTTGTATTTTTTTGCACTATTTCAGTATATTGTAACTGTAGACAGGGAGACCCTCTCCCCGTATTTATTCATTCTATGTAGTGAAGTCTTCGTGGGGTTATGCCTCAGTGCATAAAGAAGTAGGCAATTACCTGAAATCAAAGTTGCTATGAGAAACCCTCGAGTGAACCATCTGCTTTTCGCAGATGACATGATATTCTTCTGCAAGGTTAATCACCGTAGCTGTGTAGTTTTGAAGTCGATCCTGCAACAATATGAGAGGGCGTCAGGCCAACTAATAAACGGCACTAAGTCTACAGTAACATTTGCTTCCAAAACACTTCTTGAGGTTAGGAACAGAGTAAAGGGTTACCTTGATATTACGGAAGAGGGAGGCTTAGGAAAGTATTTGGGCCTCCCAGAACATTTTGGGAAACACAAAAAGGATATATTTGCCTCTGTTATCGATTGTATCAGACAACGAGGACAAAGCTGGGCCTTTAAGCTACTCTCGGGAGCAGGGAAACTGACACTCCTCAAGTCAGTCCTAACATCAATGCCTACATACTCAATGTCTTGCTTCAAGCTCCCTGTAAGCATGTGTAAACGGATTCAATCAGCTCTCACTAGGTTTTTTGGGATGCAAATCAAAAGAAAAAGAAGATCTCGTGGGTCTCATGGAAAACACTTACAAACCAATGAAAGAAGGCGGGCTGGGACTAAAGGAAATCGAATGTTTCAACGACGCTCTCCTCGCAAAACTGAGCTGGAGACTCTTAGAAAACCCTACTTCACTTCTGGGCCGGATCCTAAAGGGCAAATACTATCCAGAGACTTCTTTGCTGGATGCTCAAGCCCCACTAGCTTCTTCACATGGCTGGAAAGGGATCCTAACGGGGCGTAATGCTTTGGTGAAGAACCTCAGAAGAGTTATAGGAGATGGCAAAACCACACACCTGTGGTCGGACCCCTGGCTATCTCTCAATAACCCTCAATGCCCCACGGGCCCAGCACCTAAGTTTGCAAAAGATTGGTTAGTCGCTGATCTCATCATAGAAGAAACAAAGAGCTGGGATGCTTCAAAGATCAACTTACTTCTTCTTGAACTAGCTCAGACCATCCTCTGCATACGCCCGAGTACAAATGGAGCCACGGACAAGCTTGTATGGCTGGGAAACGATTCTGGAACTTATACCACAAGGTCAGGTTATCAAACTGCCTATACAACAAAGCACCCTCCTCAAATCACCAACCCAGCGCCAGCTCAATTTCCCTGGATAGAAGATATCTGGAAAGGGAATTTTGTACCAAAAATCAAGATTTTTATTTGGAAGATCCTTCAAAGAGCACTGCCAATTGGAGAACAGCTACGTATTAGAGGGATCTCCAGCGCAGAAAATTGCTTAAGATGTGGAGAAGTGGAGACTACTAACCATGTCTTTCTTCACTGTCAATACGCACAAGAGGTTTGGAGTTCTTTTCCTTTCACCGAGCAAGTAAACTCTCTTGACTACCCTGAAGTAGCAACCACGCTATTATAAGCTTAAATCACTGGAGATGCATGCCCCCGTTGGACTTGGAGCGGGAACCAGTTTCCCATGGATCTTGTGGGCGATCTGGATCTCCAGGAACTACTTGATATTTGAGAAAAGGACCTTCACGATGGAGGAGACAATCACCAAAGCCCTCCAGGACGCCAGAGAATGGCAGCAAGCCCAGAGAAAGGAGGAAACCAGACCAGATCCAACAAGACTTTTCATCGCTCCACCTCCCATCTCCGATGAGCTCACATGTAATACCTATGCAGCGTGGATGGCAGATCGACAAGCTGCAGGGCTTGGCTGGATCTTCAGAACCCATGAGGACACGGTCATTTCACAGGATTCTCAAGTCGTCGTTTCAGTGGCCTCCCCGTTAATGGCGGAAGCATTGGCAATGTTCTATGCTTTGCAGAAAGCTTCACAAGAAGGTTGGAAAAAACTCAGAGTGCTCTCTGACTCTCAGATCCTAATCGGAGCAATCAATTCTGACATGCATCAGAAGGAGATCTATGGAGTGGTGTTCGGCATCAAGCATCTCTCAGCATCCTTTGAACGCATCTCTTTCCATTTTGTTGTTAGAAAATCAAATGTTTCAACTGACGTTTTGGCAAAACAGGCTTTACAAAACTATTGTACTAGTTTGAATCCAGCCCACTGAGGCCTTATAATATTTTCAATTTCAAAAAAAAAAAAGACCATCTGGAGTGGTTAGAGACTCAAATGACTCTCATCAAATATTTAATTATTATTATTAATATAATTTATGTTTTTAATTATTTTTTGAAGTATAAAAAATTAAGCCACTTATTATAGGACAAGTTTATCAAGAGTCACAAATTTAAATTTTGAGATAGAGATTCATCTCATTCTCTCTTGTTTTTTTATATTATTTTTTTTAAGTTGAGAAACTTCGCAAAGACTGTTCTATGCAAAATCTATGGTAATTTGCATAGAACAGTCCTTAAACATGCAGTTGCAAGCAATTATTGATAAAGACAACTTAGACAAGAATCTTAACTATTATTTGAGAAGCATATTTAATGAAAATAAATCTGCTGTGTCATCACTTTAACAAAAGTTAATGCAAAACAATGTCACCTCATAAATGTGACATGGTAAATTTCCTAAAATAAACGAAATGTTTTGATTGGTTAAGTTAAAACTAAATAAATCTTATTTTTAACTAAGAAAAGTTTATATCATATATGAATGAATTCTTATTATATAGCAAGAACTCAAAATTATAAATGAAACAAAAAATAAACAGATAGAAAAATAAATTATAAGTATCCTGTTAGCTAACTTTTTTTAATCATAATACTGTATATATGAATAAAAAGTAAAAGTAAAAGTAAAAATAAATCTTTACGACTTCGGTTTAATATAAAAATCTCAGGCTATATTTTTTGTTTAAAGCATTTTCAACCCACCTTTAGTTTAAATCTTCTAATTTAGGAAAAAAAAATATTGTTATTTTTTCCTCCAATTATAGAGGAAAAATAACAATTTTTCTATAAAACAGAAGTAGGTTGGAGAGAAGTCTACTTATATTTTAAAGAAAAAATAGAAAAATACATTGGAGATGATTTTAATGTTTAATATATTATTAAATGTGAAGAAAAAAAGTATGAGTCAAAAAAGATAAAAACATAAATAAAATAATTTTGATCGGTTTTAAGATTTTATTTGAAATATTTAAATTATTATCTTACACATTAATTTTTAATGCATATATTTTTCTAATATATTAAAACATTATATCATGAATCAAGTTTTGTATATGTTGTGATCCATTATATTTTATGTTAACAAATATATTAAAGTTAGGAACATATCAACTCTTAATTTTTAATAACAATCAAACATTAAATATATTAGTTTACACATTAAATCATACACATATAACTTTATATTCGAATGGTTTAAATTCGGTTACAGATAGTTTGTGAAAGCGAGCGATTACAGATTATAAAAAAAATTGACAAAGAGATGAACGGAGAGCTACCGGAGAATTTTATAAAATATGATTTCACATATTTAATAATAAATTTTTATTATAATTTTATTGAGAAATCATATATCATTAAACGCTAAAAAATAAGAAACTTTGACTAAATACAAAACGATAGAAATGGTGTTCATGATTGTTGTTTTAATGTCAATAACTGCATCATCTAAAAACATAATGTTAGCAGAAAATACCAGAAAAAAATTTACCAACACCTAAATATTATAATTAACGTATTTCTAACTCATGCTTATATGCGTAAATATACTTATTATTTTTTTAAAAAAAAATCAACCATATATACATTATAAGAATATATATTACAAAACATATACTTTGTTATTTTCTTTTAACACGTAAAGTCATAGTTCGATTTTCTTACAAATATGCGTATAGATATAAATATTAATTGTGCAAAAGTTAAACTTAATGCAAACTTGTCATGCATACATTTTGTTAACGTTGATTACACTCTAATTTTAATTTTAGTTGTTAGATAATCTATATTTTTTAAAAAAATCTTTATATGTACTAAGAGCGGTGAGGTGGTTGGTACGCACGAATGTGCGGGCCAACCATCTACCCGCTCTTAGGATAAATTAATATGGTAGAATTCATTTTGGTTTAATTAGCAATAGGTCAAGGAAAATGTATATTTAATATATATAGGCAAGGTTATATTATGGAAAGAGAAAAAAAAGTATTATATAGATAATATTCAAAATATATTATAATAATTTAATTATTATTTAATATAACTTTTATATTTACAATTTTATATTATTGTAAATGTTAGGAAAAATAAAAAGTTCTCAATAGGCAAAAACGATATGAAACGTTTCTGTGATTGTTGTTGAACACTAAAATTGTACATGTATAAAAACATAACATTTACATTATGTATAAAAAATTAATCAATACTTAAATATTACAACTAATTATGTCTATAAAAAATTATACTTGCACATGCATACAGACCAAAAATCAAAATTAAATAAATTATTATATATTTTAGTATTTTCCGTTTATTTAGTAATTATATTTACATTTTTATCGAAAAAAATATTTAAAAATCTTAGTTAATATTTTTTATCTTTATTTTATATTTAATTCATCGTTATTTTTTAATTATTAAATATTTATTATTTTATAACATGCACATGATGCATGCCGTAAAGAAAAAACATAAGAAATAGAAAAAGAAATCAACTGCGCATTACATTACATAATAGATATAGTCAAATACTATATATGTACCTGATCTTATTCATCACTAACAAAATCGGGTAACAGGAAAAGTTTCAATTCATTTATATATCCAAAGACATTGGAACACAATCATTCACATCCGTCTATGCAAAAATAAAAGAAATAATTAAGAGTTTTACAATTTAGATGCACAAAATGGAGTACAAGAGAAAGATCATTGCAAGCAGATCGCAAACTAACATAAAGGCTCTGTCTTTGGTAATTGTTACCAATACGAGTTTCTCTCCTAACAAACATTACTGCAAAACCGATCCATTCCATGTAGCTCTGCCCATTTCTCGTATAAAAATCCTAACCTCTTCACGACTTATTATGAATTGATAACATTTTCGCTAGAGTCTTATTCAAAAAACACTTTTCACATCGGCATATAATATTCTACATCTAATAAAGATTGGAAGACAACCCGAAATTTTTTACATGAATCCAAAATAATATGACAAACTATTATGCGGTCTCCAAAGCTTTTTTCTAAAGATGAAAATGATCACATGAGTTTTCTTTCTTTAAAGGAGGAATTCCTTTTTATAACCTAAAAGTTGATTTTTTCTCAATATGTAGACCCCTTATTGAATGTTTGGCAAAACTAACTCAAAAGGATAGTGAAATTACAGCCCAGTCCTTTGTGACTAAACAAAAAAACGTCTGCTACAGTTATGATTTTATCCTTCGAGAAGTCTACGTAAGAAGTCTACAATCGTTGTAGACTTCAAAAGAAGTCTACTACATAATTAGTTTTTTTAAAATTAATAAGAAAATATAAAATAAATAAATTTCTAAAAAATTGGTAAAGATAAGTAAGATATATATATATTTGACATGTATAGAATACAAAATTTCATACAAATGAATCAACTTAAATGCAGAAAGAAAATTAACTAGAAAACATACAACCCCTTAGAAGTCTACTAAAGAAGTCTACTATAGAAAACATATGTATGCAGTAGACTTCTCAGGTAGACTTCTCTAATAGACTTAAAGAAAACATAGTGGGAAATCAAAATTATTTAACAAATTGGACGGGAATCGGAACAAATTAGGCGGGAATCGAAATCGAAAAAATATACCGAAGTAGACTTTTCGAGTAGACTTCTCCAGTAAACTTCTTAAGAAGTCTACTTAACCAAAAATTTTCCTACATATATAAGGAGATTAACCTAATTGGGTTAAAAATAAAGTTTTTCTCTCCCTCTAAAAAACGCCTCTCTCTCCTCTACCTCCTCTCTGGCCATGAATCTCTCCTCCTTCCTCTCTTGCCATCAAACCCACCTCTATCCTTCATCCTCTCTATTTCAATTATGTTGATGGTAAGAAAATCTGAGGTTTTGTGTTTCTTTTGTTGTTTTTTTGTGTGTTCATATTGTAAATATGAGTTTATTATTATATATTTGAGCTTCTTGTTGTGGATCTGAGTTTATTCTTGCAAATATGCGCTTCTTATGGTATAAATTTTGTAGAATTTGTTGCAGATCTGATTTTTTTGTTGTTGCAGATCTGATTTTTTTTTGGTAGATCTGAATTTTTAGTTGTTGCAGATCTGATTTTGTTTATTTTGTTGCAGATCTGAATTTTGTTTATTTTGTTGCAGATCTATAATTGTTTTTGTTGCATAGCTGACTTCTTTTTTTTCCTTTTGCTGCAGATATGATGTTTGTAAATATAGCATATTTTGTTGAAATATGAATTTTAACATTTTTTTTCTTATTGTGCAGACTTGAGCTTATTTATTTCTCTTTTGTTTTTGTTGGAAGCAGACTTCAGCTGCAGATTTCTCGAGTAGATTTCTCGAGTAGACTTCTCGAGCAGACTTCAGTCACATACATCTATTTCAGACATTTTGTTTTTATATGCTAATTTTAAGATTTATAATTAATGATCTTTAAATGTTTGTTTGATTAGAAGGTCTACTTTATATGTAAAGTTAGATTGCAATTAATGTTATTTTTATATATTCTTAAATTATGTGTGTTTTATCATGTTCAGATTTTATATGCAGATTTCTTTGTCAAACTGAGTCATCACCATCTTTGAACCTCTAATAACACAAGAAAATTAATTCATTTTAACTATACAAAAACATGTAAAACTCATAACAAAAAAAAATGTAAAACTACTTAGAAATACCACAACTAGTCTTTCTTCACACATTCTCAATAAACAGTGGGTATGTGAACAATTCTCTGTAAGAAAACAAAAATCAAACCACATTAGAAATCATTGTCGAAAAAGTAGACTGCAAACGTAGTCTACTATGTAGACTTCAAATGAAGTCTGCGGACTATTAAGCTAAATACCAAATAAAAGAAGAAAATTAATTAAAGCTAAACTGTAACAAAAAAAAAATTCAAACTCATACATAAGCAAGAACAATAAATATCACACACTTAAGAGTCAAATAATAAATTTTATTTGTTACAAATATCTGATCAGTTAAATTTATAAAAAAAATAATATTGCAGACTGCAAACGAAGTCTACTATGTAGACTTCAAGTGAAGTCTACAGACTAATAAGCTAAATACCAATTAGAACAAGAAAATTAATTAAAGCTAAACTATAACAAATAAACATGTCAAACTCCTACATAAGTAAGAACAATAAATAATACACACTTAAGAGTTAAAGAATAAATTTTATTTGTTACAAATATCTGATCAATTGATTTAATAAAAAAATTAATGTCGCAGACTGCAAACGAATTCTACAGACTAATAAGCTAAATACCAAATAAAACAAGAAACTTGATTTCACCAAATATATATATATATAATATAAACATGTAAAATTGATACAAATGTAAGTACACTTGCTAAAACAATCGTAAGACCAAAACAATCTTAATAATTCGTTGTAAATTTGATCAAAAACGCGTTTATAAAAAAAAGTGAAATAGTAGACTAACAACGAAGTTTACAAAAGTAGACTTGCAATGAAGTCTACAAATGTAGACTTCGTATGATGTCTATATTTTAGGTTACTTTTGTAATTGCCAAAAGATGAGTAGACTTCTTCACTCCGAGAAGTCTACTCACTCACTCCGAGAAGTCTACTCGAGAAGTCTACGTAAAAAAAAATAGTTTTGCAATTGACCAAACTTTAAATTTTTCGTAAGAAGTCTATTTGCAAAAGTAGACTTTTTCGAAGAAGTCTACTTTTAAAGTAGACTTCTTAGAGGTTGGTTTTGCAATTGACCAATGTTAACTTTTCAAAGTAGACTTCGTTTGAAGTCTACTTGGGTTAGTTTTGGGGTTGACCAAACATTGAATTTATTTTCGAGTAGACTATTTTTGAAGTCTACTCAGAAAGTAGACTTCAAACGAAGTCTACTCGGAAAAGTAGACTTCAAGCGAAGTCTACTCGAAAAAGTCAACATTGGTCAATTGCAAAACTAACCTCTAAGAAGTCTAAGTTCAAAGTAGACTTCTCCTAAGAAGTCTACTTTTGCGAGTAGACTTCTTACGAAAAAGTCAAAGGTTGGTCAATTGCAAAACTAACCCCTTTTTACGTAGACTTCTTTTGAAGTTTACACTATTTTTTGTTATCAAAGGAAATGGCGCAGACTTCAACTGAAGTCTACTGTCAGAAATTGGTACACCCGGTCAATTGCAAAACTAACATGTGTGTTGACCAGCAGACTTCTTTTGAAGTCTACTACCGACAGTAGACTTCTTAAGAAGTCTACTTTCGCGGCACAGATCTGAAAACTCACGAAAATTGACTGAAAAATCACCTACCAGTGGTATTTAACTTATTCAACCACCAATTTTTTTATTCCAGCCACCACCAAACAAGCCCAAACAATTTGGCAGACCAAATCACCAAATATGACAATATATTAAAACATCAAGTTTCAAAAATTTAGATTAGAGAGTTTTTGTGCTGAAGATGGTGAAAAAATGGAAGAGTAGAAAGTTAAGAGAAGAGGAAATGAGGTTACAAAGCTAAAAAATGGGTTTTTGAAGCAATAAAAACTTCAAATTGGTTGAAAATGGTGGTTGAATGAATTGATGGTGATGGCATTTTCGTGAATAAATGAGGAAGATGAAGATTGTTTGGTAAAATAGATTTCTGAAATAATAATAAAAAATAATAATCTAATAATATTTTCGTAAATAAATAGAACTGATAAGGATATAAGTGAGATAAAGTGGTTAATTTCAAAAGTGGTAAAATGGAAGGTTAGTTTAGCAATTGACTTGAATTTATGGGTTATTTTTGTAAGATTCCCTTCTTTAAATAGCTCAAATTTTATTTTATCAATATTAAATATGTTTAAAACAATCAAGCAATATTATGAATGTGAACCATGTTACAAAATTGTAGTAGCAGGCTAGCAGCTATATTGTTAGTATATACTCCTATATATACAATGTGACGACCGAGTATACTTCGGATAACCGCCTACAACATTGAATATGTCGTACCATGGGAGGTTAGTTATGGACCTCTATTGTCATTAATATTAAATAATCCTGGCAACAAGTGATTGCTTTTTAAATGCCTTTAGAAACCAAAAAATGATATGATAAAGTTTGAGTTGCGATCGACCGACTTTCACGTTTCAGTTTTTCAAAACTAGTTATTTAAATTTCAACGTTAGACTTTTATCAAGAAAGAGGAATCTCCGGAGAGTTTCAAAGCTTCACACACTAATCAAATCTTTAAGCTATATTTTATATTTTAATTATTTAATCTTCCTCAACATATATAAATAGCGTTGCATGCTTTATGCGATGATAATCAATTAAAAAGATAGAGAAAAATGGGAAACACTATAATGGTGAGGAGAAAGAAAGCGAAAGTTATGAAGATCGACGGCGATATTTTCCGGCTCAAAACTCCGGCGACGGTGAGCGACGCCACGAAAGAGTATCCCGGGTACGTGTTGTTAGATTCCGAGACCGTGAAACTATTAGGAGTTCGCGCCAAGCCGCTTGAGCCGAGTCAGATCTTAAAGCCGAATAAAACTTATTTTCTGGTGGAGCTTCCGGCGAAGGTGGCGGCGGAAGAAGGAGATACGAGGAATAAGCTTCCGTACCGGAGAGTTATGTCCGGTATACATGTTGGCGCCAAGGAGCGTCTTGAAATGCTAATGCTTACTCGGAGAACGGTTTCTGACATCACTGTCGCTAGATATGACGGCGGAGATGGTCCTGGGCTTGGGCCTGGACAGGTGAGGGTTAGACTGAGGCTGCCTCGGTCTCAAATCACGAAGTTTATGGAAGAGACCAACGACGACGCTTCTGCTGTTGCTGAGAGGATTGTTGCTCTTTACCTGGAAAGCTCCGGCAAGGTGCAAGGCGGCGATGATAGCCATGATTTTCGCCGGAGACTAGATCTGAAGAAGGCGCGTGAGGTAATATTATAAAATTTATTTGAAAATTAAGTGTATATAATTGATTAAACTCAAATAAACCGAAATTATGAAAACGTCATTCATATTAAATCATATTTTACTATAGATACAATCTAAATTGAAAAATTTAACAATATTAAAGCATAAATTAACATTTTTCTAATTTATTTGATGGTTAGAATTGATAACCAATATTCAGTTGGCACTGGATATTACCTAGTAGTAGTAGTTGACACTTGACAATAAAAGGATGGGATTATAATGCATTACCTACATATCTTAGTTTATTTTGTAATGCACTTAATAAAATTTGTGATTACATTTACATAGTCTAGTAAACTAGTAATACGTATGCGTGATGTGCGTAAATAATAATTGTGTACGTGCACGTAATATATTACTAGTTGTTATATCATCTTCAAAAAGTCGTTAGTCATTTAGGTCAAACATTGTTGTCGATGCAAGAGTTGGTTCAACCGCTTAGTTACTGACCCATGTTATATTAAGGCCATGTTGCTGATGTAACATCAGTGATGTTGGTGTTATTTGAAAGTATAATCTCATGATCAAATTTATCATGTTCAATTGTCTAATAGCTCTTTTTCCTTTTTCAAGAGATAAATTTATTAGGGTTTATCTAGATAATAACTATGCATTCTATAGTGAGTCTGACACAAATCACATACAACAACAACATTTATAAAATATGTAATATATTTTGATGTCAAATGTTTTAAACAGCAGTTCTTATATAGAATGTATTTAAATATATATATATATATGTATATTATGAAATGTAAATGAAATTGAGTTCATTCCACTTGTATTTGGCATTTCCTTTATTAGGAGTTCGGCCCGCACGTATGTGCATACATAAACAATTTTAAAAATTGAATTACCTAAATATAATATCTAAATCGTTATAAATATTTTAATTTTTTTGTAATATATAAAAAATTAGGTAGGGCAATTAAATTATAGACCCTAATAGCAAAATATGGTATAATTTTAACTAAATATTTCATAATAACAAAAGGCACATTTTATTATGTTAAAGAGCCAAATGGGTCAGACCAGTGGATAGTTGGTTGAACGAGTTACCTGCTGCGGATTTGCGGGTCAAGCGTACATATCTGCAAATTTCATCATCTTCTTTGTCTTTAATTAATCTTTCTCAATTTATCCAGTTATTTAGCCATTAAATTCTCGAAGACTTCTTTGTATAAAACAAATAATTGAAATAAAATAAATTAAACATAGAAAATTATTTGAACTTAAATATATTCCAACTTCTCTTTGTATATTTGTTTAGCTTCTGTTTCGTGTGGACAACAAAAATAGGCTCTTTAATTAAACATTGTTAGACTAATGTTACTTTGGATTATATAGTCGGTACATGTGATGAAGATAATTCTCATAATTTTTATACAATTTAACGTGTACATATATGTGCATGTAATCTTTATATTTATAAAGCACAAGTCAGTTGACAATTATGGTATTGACAAGTGTTTTTTTATGTTTTAAACTAATTTACCTTTTATTTTTTTTATCATAAAAATTTGTATCTTTTAAATCATTTTTTTTAAAACAATCTCATAACTACCCATGATCTTTTTAACTTTCCATCTTTACAGCATATTACCGTCACTTTCATCATATATATATCAGAAATGTTTAGTTCATATATTTTTTTTATAAATTTGCAAAGAAAATTCGACAAAAAAAAATCTGCAAAGAAAAAAACAGTTATTTTAGGTAATCTATTAATTTTTAATTTTTGGGGTTTTATCTAAATTATTATCATAGATTTATAGATACGCAATTTGAAATTTTTATTTCAATTTTGTTTCAGGTATTAGTGTGATTATTTACAAGATGAAACCACTACTAGAAATACAATATTTTTTTTGGTAATAACCAAAAACACAACATTACAAAAATGGTAAGATGTAAAGATGTCTTCCTTAGAAAGTGATATTCTATCCATTTAATAATGATAACATTTGTGAATTAAAGATATTAGGCTGATATTTTTTTTTTGTTTTGTGATCTATCTTTCTGGATTTAAGAAACATAAAAAACGACAAAGTGATGTGCAAAGTAAACATTTATTTTTAATTTTTTAAATATTTATTTTCCATTTTTTACTTATTACAATTTCAATAAATATTTTCTCGTGACAAAATTAATTAACAAAATAAATCATTTTATACATGTTTAATTATCTATATCAAAGACTAAAATGTATTAATTTATAATTTTGTATAATTATAAAATACACCTACATACTACTATATAAATATCTTGGATAAGTATGTTTACTTTCTTTTTCTATTATCCAATTCTCAAAATTAAAGTATTTCAATAGTAAAAATGTTATACTGTTTTAATTTCAAACATGTTATTTTTTACTAATTTTATATAATTTTTTTACTTAAAATATTATATTAAACTGTTTTGATTTTAAACATATGGTCTTTTATATTAATTTATCTCAAATACCAATCTCCTGCATAGCAGGAGGCAAAATACTAGTAAAAAAATATAACATATGTTTGTGCATGTGATAAAAAACGACGGTTTACAAATTATATTAATAATTAAATATTTTATATTTTTCAGTTTTCATAAAATAATTATTTGAACTAAAATAAATTAAACACATAAATTTTGTTTTCCATGTCATAATCTACATGTGTTAGCAAATGGCATATCACAATTACATCATCATTACACATCATCATTTTTTTGTCACATTTAATTTGTTAGATTGATATTTTTAACCAATAAAATTTAAAAAAAATCAGCATATTTCATTAAACTACATTGTCAATTAATAGGTAGAGAATTACACACATTAATACATATTCGTTCTATTTCTTATAGTTCAATGTTTTGGCTTATTCACACAAATTAAGAAACAATTAATTGTTAGCTATTAATAAATTGTTTTTTAGACGAACTACTTTTCAATAACTATTAACCAATAACAACTCAAGAATACAAATACTTTTACAAAATTTCTTGAAGTTTACAATCTATTAACATTAATTAAGAAAAAAGTACATGTACGTCTCTAAATAAAACATCAATTTTTTTGAAAATAAAAATAAAACTCAAAACATCGAACTATCAGGAAGGAGTATAAAATATTAGTCAAACACAAACAATTACAAAAAAAGGTCACATCTTGGAGTATAAAATATTAGTCAAACACAAACAATTACAATAATGGTGACATGTTGGCGTTACATTCTTAAACGAATCCAGCTTAATAGCTTCTGAAACAACTGAGTTAACTTGATTTAAAGTTGATCATCTAAAACTATTTTCTTTCATTTTGTTTTGTTTAGCTATGTACATATTATAAATCTTCAGAATGACCTCTTGTCGGCTAATTCTATATGTAGTGGGCTAAAACTTCTCCGTTTTGGTTAACAAATTGCATTGAATTGATTGGTTAATTCGAAACTGTAGTTTCCTAACAAAAAGGAGAACTAGACTAAATTTTGTTTGCTGTTTCTTCCAAATATGCAGAAGCATGTGAGCTTCGCAGAGAAAGGCGGGAGAGGAGAGATCGTTGTTTTATAGAGTACAACGTAACCATCAATATGATTATTGTCCAGAATTTATTTTTTGTTACTTACATGCATTTGTCAGGACTCATCTTTGATATTTGTTTTTCAATGTTAGAAATTATATTTTATATATGTAGCTATCATCTCTAATTTTGATGTCAGAGGAAAAATTTATAATTTCATCGAGACGAGACATTCGATACATTCAGTCCATATATCTCTTTATATATATATATGATCTTGATCTGATTTATAGTCATGCCAATATATAATGCTTTTACCAAATTGTTCATGATGCTTAATTTTTGGTGAGCATGTCTAAGCGGTTTAACCATGAGAGCGAACTCGAATCAAATCCTTCGGCTTCCACTCGCTTATGGGCGTTGATGAGACAATAACATGATAAATATATGATAAAAAGACAAAATGGAGTTGTCTTAAACTTTTCGATGCTCAAGTAAAAAAATATAAACAAACAAAAACAACTTTGTTGGATCGAAGACCAAGTATATGAGAAGAAGAAGAGTGAGAGTAAGGACTGTACATGTGAAAACTTCTTGAAATCCTTGATCTCCATCTTTGAAAGTTCTTCCACATCTTTAACAAAAAAAAAAGGTTCTTCCACATCTTCTCAACTAAATATGCTATAACTTTAGCAGCCTAAGCCAATATAGTATAGTAAAAATTCTTGAAAGTTAAAAAGAATTACTAATCTTCGGATATTTTTAAATTCAAGAATGCGAATAATGTTTTTTAACAAAAAAATGACAATGTTATAAAAAAAATGACAATATAGTAAAATCTCTATAAAATTAATAATATTGTTATGAGAATATTGTAATAACTCAAATTCGACCTCAGAACAGGAGTTTGTGGGTTTAAAGAGAGATCCTTTATTATGAATAAGCCGGAGCTTAAGAAGGTACACGGTGGTTTAGATCATCGGAATAAGAACGCCTACTTAAACTTTTATGGAAATAAAATCGAGAGCTAAGAACAATAAGATTGTTTAGTTTGCCCTAGGTCTCGAGAGAGGATTTTTGGATAGCCCTGAGGAGTCGAAGACTTCCTTTATTTATAGCCGATCAGGTCCGTCTTCTATGCATATTCGAATTAGGAAAGTCTTCCTGCCGATAAGGCTAATCTTCCATTTTTCCCGGATTCAGCTCAATAAATGGAAGATTTTCATTTATTTGGCCGACCTAGGTATTTTTTGAATTCCCGAAATGGGTCGACCAGATTTCATGTCGGGCTTTTAGAGATGATACGAATCTCATCTATAACAGTAAGTCCCTCCTAGTTCGGCAAGTGGTGATAGATTGCTTGACGAATTTTAGGAGAAGTAGCTCGGCATGTGATGAGGTCGGTTGCTGCGAAAGTTAGAATATAAATTTACCTCGAGTTCAGATCGGCACAATGACGAGAGCCCGATAGTGAATTTGGGCACGAAAAGCTCCCGCCTAAAGTTCCTGCCAAAAGTAGTGTAAACTAGGCCTAGGTATGCGCATGCAAAACTAGGTTCGACACGTGTCAAACACTAGAGGAGGAAAGCGAAGAGGCCAATTTAAATAAAATGAGAAGAAATGCGAAAGGTCGCCGAACTCATGATGACTCTCGATAACCGTCCTCATTTCTGTATAAATATGAGGAGTTCAGCTAATAAATTTTCACTTCTGCATTTCAGCGAAACTTTGTCAAATGGTTTGCTCTCTTCTCTCTCTTCTTTGTTCTTCATTTTAATATTTTCTGATTAGACCTCCACCGCGTTTCGTTCGATCCTCGCCGTATGATTTCTCCGATCAGCCCGAAGCCACCGTTGAAGCCTAGATCTGTGATGAGCAAGAATCTAAGTATCAGAGAGGGCCGATCTGAATTGAAGGGGAACAGGTCGGCTCAGGCGAATACTAATGAGATTGGCATCTCCATGGAGGAATTCCTCAAGATGTCGCGAGCCGACCAGGATGCTAGGAGCCGATCAAAGGGCAAAGAAGTTGCCATCAGCCGATCAGGATCGGATCGGTCTACGGACGCAAGCGACCTTTCAGCGCTGGATCAAACCTACCAAGAATGGGTCCGAGAAGAAAACCAAAGGGCGGCAGCCAAGCGTTTTCACGTCGATCAGGTCGGGGCCGTTCTGATGAGTGGAGAGGCATCAACAATGGAACCATTTTTGATCCCTGAGTTGCGGGACAAATCAGACGAGAGAGGCGGATCAAACGAGATGGATATCTCGGACGAACTGAACGCAATCATCGTTGAAGACGAGGTCAACCAGTTCGGCATTATCGACATGAACCCCCCGGTGAAGAAGATCAAGAGGCGAAAAGGAGAGAAAGTGACTAGGCCGATCTGTGATAACCCACTGGGAGTAATGCCAACCAAGTCGACTATGGAGTCCTTGGTGACATTAAAAGAGGAGTGCGACATCGGCCCTGAGGTGATCTTTATGGTCCCGAGCCCTTCAGAGCAGCCATGGGATGCCCCCAAAGGATGGCTGTGCCTCTATGAATGCTTTTTTAGAGACTTCCATCTGTGGTTCCCCCTCCCGAGGTTGCTCCTGAAATTCGCTGATCGGAAGGAGATGCCGATCTGCCAGTTTACCCATGCGACGATCTTCCTGATCGTCAGTATGTTAGTGATGCCGATCAAGCACGACATCCCCTTGAGCCGGGCCGCCTTCGATGCGATGACCAATACCAGACGAACCAAGGCGAAGTTAAGGAACCGTGGATCGTACTACACAAGCATGAAGACACGGTATAACATCGTGACCGGCGGTCAAACATCGTTACTTTTTCGTACTGATCAACGAATTCTCTGTTGTTGATCGGGATATCCCAATTCGAACGAAATGGGTGGAGGTCATGGGTAGAGATGCACGACCTGAAAAGTTTAGTTTAAATATCTGTGTACATCTGATTTTTCTAATCCATTGTTTGTTTGTTTTGCAGGTAATAAGCATCTTCCCATAGTAGACGATGCGGTTGACATCTACAATGTCTCCGAGAGATTTTCGGCGATTAGCGCAATCACTTGGCTGGAGATTACAGAAGAAAAGCTCGCAAGAACAAACGGTTAGTTTTGCATTGTCATTTAGTCGTGATGTTAACCGAAATATTTAGTCGGCTAACAATCTCCATTGAATATATTTTCAGCCGCCCTTCTTCGACGACAAAACCGACCAGAAAAAATGAAATCTCTGTCATTCAAGGATCTTTCTGCCAATCTAGAGTCGGCTCTCGGTTCACCAAGTGCTAAAGGAGCCAAGAATTCTGCTCTTTCTACGTCATTAGAAGGGCGCCAAGCACCAGTTCCCTCGACGGATGGTTCCGGAGACGACCCGAATAAAGCCAGAAGGGCAGCCAAAAAGAAGGCTAAGAAGGCAGCCGACAAGATGGCTGCAAAAAAAAGCAGAGAAAGCTCGAAAGAAAAACGAGCTGGCAGAGCGTGAAGGCGAGGATATTCAGGATGAAGGGCCTGGAGTGGACGAGGCTAGTGGAGAAGGTGATCCCATTAGTTCGAACAAAAGGGGCCCGGAGGAGATGCCTGAAGAATCGCAGAGGTCAAAGAGGCCTCGCGTTGAACGGGAGCTTTGTTCATTTGGGTTTTCGTACGATTATCGAGGGGATGCCCCACTGGTAAGTGATCCCGTATCCTGCCTGGACTTCTTTATCCGATTAAGGGATCACCCAGCTCTTCCACCAACCGACCCCCGAAGCTTAATTCGCAGCGAGGCGATTACGCGCTTTGCAGCCTATCATGCTAAGGTAAGATATCAAGCATACTCTGTTTCTCCAATTGTAGAAATACCAGATCGGTTCTTACGACGGACTCCCCTTTAATGCAGGCCTTGAGTACCGCATTGACTGTGATGTGTGAGTACGACTGTGACGCCAAGAGGTGTCAGACCGACCAGGCCGAGAGAGAAGCCCTTAAAGAAGCTCTCGAAGCCGAGAAGCAAAAGAGCATCGAACTCGAAGCTAAACTTGGGGAATCCTCAAAGAATCTAGAACAGGCTCGTGCAGACATCGCCGAGAAGAACAGGCTTCTTGGATGGGCTGTAAAGCAAATAACAAAGGAGAGGGCCGCCGCTGAAAGCAAGCTCGAGGCCGAGAAAAACTTGGCCGAACAAGAAAAAGTTGCCTTTGGCCAGGAGATGGCGAAACGTGCAGCCTCCAAGGTAAACGGCCACTACGCCAACTTAGTTGGCAAAGTTAAAGAATCTTTTGCTCAAAAGGAGAAGGCCGAGGAGTTGATTTCGACTGTGGCACAATGGGTCGGAGCGCAGAGGGCACTCAGCAACGTCCGGAAGCAGGGCTGTGAGTTCCCACCTCTCATTGATGATAATGTGGCGAGGAAGATCCTCGAAAGCAAAGCCGAACAAGAAGCGTTTGAGGAGGTTAGTTTCTTGGCTGCTGAGATTGAGGCTCCCGAGCTGGAGTTCTTTCTCGAAGTTGCGAGCGAGCCTGGTCAAGAAGAGTCAGAAGCGGATAAGTCCCCTGAGAGAGGTGAACAGGAGAAGGAGCAGGGGGCCAATTAGGGAGATGGTCAAGATGTCGGCCAGCCTAACAGTCGAGAGGCCGAGCAGGAAGAAGGAGAAATCCAAGAAGTAGCCGAGGGCGATGAATAGATTCCTTCTTTTTTTTTGTACTAAGTATTTGTATCATTGGAACGATGTAATCTTGTCAGCCATTTTTGGCACTTTATTAATGAAAAGATGACTTCTATTTAAAAATCTAAAATATAAACTACGATGCGATATCGGCTTAAAATCGTTTATGCGATTAAATTTCTAAGTATGAAGAGAATAAGCGAGTGAGATCGGTATGTATTCAATACTTAGAAATTTTCTTAAGTCGAATGCAACGGGCGACCAGGTCGGCTTAATAGTTTTGCATAACTTAAGAAGTGCAGAGCGGATTTTGGCTTAGGAGAGAAGTGTGAATACAAACGTGCGAGAGGCTCGGCTTACTTTTGTTTGTACCACTTAATTTCTAAGTATGAATACTTAGATGCGAATCAGGTCGGCGTTTTTCTATTAGTACCACTTACAAATATCCGAGTCGAATGCGGGTACAAGACTGATTTGGCTGATAATTACGCATGACTCTGATCGATTGAGACAGGTTAAACTGTATATGTAAGATGGACTTTGCTTTTAAGTTGCCGAGCTAAAGTGGATCAGACTTTAGCTTTGGGCGAATCGAGCATCTGGCGAGGATG